ATGGCTATGTGATAACGCAAGATATGGGCATCGGGAGGAATGGATGTCTTATAGGTGTACGCTCAACACTTTTACGGAACTGTACAGTCTCTGCACAAGCACCATAATCATGCTACTGGGGATGAGGATGATGCTGAACCTATTGTAGCTCCTCCAGAGGTGGCCGAGAAGCCTCCGATCCAGCAGCAGGTTGGCTCATTGATATGATTGAGGCTCGCCTCATCATCACACGTCTTAGATAATGAACACGTCCAAGTCCTTCTGGCATGAGCGTGAAGGCAGAGAGGGACGTCTCCAGCAGCTAAGAGAGAAATGTCAGGTCATGAAGGTAGCTGTACGCATACGGTCCATGAGGGATGACCCCCTCTTGTAGGACTACAACGATAATCTTGCCTCGCAGCTAGAGGAGGCCGAGGGATTGTACAAGGATCTCTTTGAGAAGGTACAGCAGATGAAGGAAAAGATTGGGGTAGGTCGATCCTTTCGAGTCTGGACCGATCGACGGTCAAGTCTTGCTCGAAGCTCTGTAGTTTGAAGCCGCTGGATTAGAGCTCGCTCATCGTCAGGTCACCGATGGCACCGAATCATCTAATTGACTGATTGGCGTGTGAGAATTGAGTAAATGGACAATCTTACTTGAGGGTATTGATTTTAACGAGTTTCTACTATGCAGTTGCTGATGTTGACTTCAAAGTGCTGCTTGGGGGAGGCACTTCTCGCCATCGTTTGCATAGTGCTACTCATCTCACTTTCCCAAACATACTCCATCCCCTCATGAACCCATCAGTTTTTGGCACTATCTACTGCCACATCAAAAGCCTCGATGGCGACTGAGCTTTGATTCGAACATTTAGCATAACAGCAGGGACACATGATACGTATCTATCTCTGACTGAGCTTGGTTACTATGGCTGCGCACTCAATCAACGCATTCGCAGTTCCCACACAGAAACGGGAACCTCTAGATAGTCCTTCGCCAGTGGTTACCTCAACTGGCCTTATGAGTGAGTGGAGCAGAGTCCACTTCGGCAGTTCATTAGCTTGGTCTGGGTGGTGTAGACGATGACAACTTCTCTTT